CATATGTGGAGTATAAGAACAAAGGAAACTGAAGGAGCAAAACAGCAGCAGACTCACAGAACCCAAGAATGGACTAACAGTTACCAAAGGGAAAGGGACTGGGGAGGATGGGTGGGCAGGGAGGGATAAGGGCGGGGAAAAAGAAAGGGGGCCTTACGATTAGCATGTATAGTGTGTGGGGGGCACGGGAGGGCTGAGCAACACAGAGAAGACAAGTAGAGATTCTACAGCATCTTACTATGCAGATGGACAGAGACTGTAATGGGGTTTGTCGGGGGTACTTAGTGAAGGGGGAGCCTAGTAAACATAATGTTCTTCATGTAATTGTAGATTTATGATAACAAAATTTTTAAAAAATCACCTCTCACAGGCTTCTTGATGCCTCAAGACACACCTTATTCATTGAGGCACAAAATAAGTCAAGATAAAGCTCAGATGCTCAGACACAGTTCAAGGCTGCAGCGACTGGACACTGAGTGCAGTTCCCGGGGAAGGAGCCTGGTGGGGCCACTTTCTTGGGGTGCGCACTGCCTCTACGAGGACTCACCACAGAACAACTTCTGAGTGCTAGTCAGCTTTTCACCGTTTTTTTGGTAAAAGCAAAACTCCTCTTTAAATTTCTTTGTTAGAGAAAACAGGTAATAATGTAGCTCATAAAGCAAAGTGGAAGAATGGGGACCTTCAAAACACAGAGGGTACCTGTGTAGAAAATCCTAAATGATCCATGAAAACCCCCATTAAAGCTATCAGATGTATTCAACGATGTTACAGGACACAAAATCTACAAAAATCAGCTGTATTTTAATATACTAAAAATGAACAATCTAAAAATAAAATTAACATTTCATTTACAATAGCATCAAAATGAACAGATATCTTAGAAATAAATGTAACCAAGACTTGTGACTTTAAAACATTGTTTAAAGAAACTGAAGATGACCTACAGAAATGGAAAGACATCCGTTCATAGAGTAGGAGACTTCACGTTGCTTGGGTGCCAACACTGCCTAAACTGACCTACAGAGTCAGTGCAGCCCCAGCCAGAACGCCAACTGTCTTTCATGTGCAGATGGACAGGCTGGTTTTAAAATTCATATGGAATCGCAAAGGATCTTGAACACCTAAAAGTACCTTGAAAAGAAGAGCCGATGTTGGAGGGCTACCACTTCCTGATTTCAAACTGATTGCAGGGCAGCAGTAATCAGACTGGGGTGGTACTACCTACAAACGGACTACAGAGCAATGCAAAAGAATAGAGAGCTCACAACTAAGCCCTCACGTATACAGCCCAGTGGTTTTTGCTGGTTGGGGTGAGGGGGTCAAGACCATTCAATGGAGAAAGGACAGTCTTTTCAACAAATAGTGCTGGGAAACTGGACATCCACTTGCAAAATAATGCAGTAGGACACTTACTCCAAGCTATCAGAGCACATGATTTACAAGGGAAATAAAATTTATCACCATTAAACTTTCAGCAATATTTTATCTCAGAAGAAAATGGATTAACATACCAGAATGTTCAAGGAAAGTAATGGGAGCCAAGAATTCTACATCCAAGAAAACTTACCTTCAAGTATAAAAGACACAGACACAGACATATCAACAGGCCAGAGCTCTGGGAATGTCGCTCCTGTGAGCCCTTCCCGAGGACACTACTGGAAACCGAGCCTCAACCAAACAACCAGAGAATCCCCAAGATAGTTCTCTGAGAACTAAGGTCTGAGGGTAAAAGGGAGTTGATGGTAGGTGACGGCCATAGTCTGACACGACAGATCTAACGCGATCCTGAAAACACACAGGGGAATGTGGGTGGGACATGTAAAAACGTTTTTGACAGTTTTTAATCACTGTGACTGAAGAATAAATGGTTTTCTGAGAGTATTTTGTGTGTGTGTGCGCGCGCGCATGCATGAATGTGAAAATGGGATGATTCAAAAATGTTGCAGGACATTTGGAGTCCACTATCCTGTGTCCTTAAGAACAAGAATCCTGGGGTAGAGAAGAAAATATAGATGTGATCCAGAAAAGATTAAGTAAAAACACTGCAGGCCTTAAAAATATACATATGTGGTATGTGTGTATATATAATTATGTACACAAATGCGTGTTCACCTATATTTTCAAACTCAGTCCACCAGAGACCTGGACAACGACCAACCCAGCCATGAAGGCACCCAGGGCCCGCACCCCCGGTTCCAGGGATCCAGGCCCTCTTGCAGACGGTGCTGACGCCAGGCTTGGGAGGGGGGGGGCACGGTGAGCGTGGAATATCCTGACCGTCAGCGACTCCTGGGGCTATGTCACAAGGACAGTGCGGCCCATCTGAGAGGCTCCCACCTGCCTAACTTGGGACAACTTGAGCCTCAACAAGGAGCAGAATCTCAATAGATTGAAATTCATCGTATATTTAAATCCATGAGTCCAGAAAGATATTTTTTATAAACGAATTCATCACCTAGGATGAAAGAGAACCAATTCATTACTTTGGAAACTAAGTAAACAGAGAAAGCCAGCATTTACCCTGCCTTTTCTGTAAGATCTGTACCACTGGGAGGCCAAACATCAGATGAGGGGAAAAGAGTCTCTTCGTGACATTCCAGCTAGTAAACGAAAATGAACTGACAGAATTAAAGGATCTTTATTTTGCAATTCCCACTCAGTCAGTGGATGTAGGCTTTGAGCATCAATGGCTGCTGACAGCACAGAAGAAAAACTAGATGTCAGATGCCTCCTGAGGAGAGACCATCACTGACCTTGCAAAAGGGGGTGAACCTGAGGGCGCTTGGGGGCCTGGATGCGGCCGCCAGCTGGCAGCAAAGAGGGACATGCTGGGCGGCGCCAGGGGTGCTTGACGCTGGGTGGAAGGGTGTGTGCAGCCAGAGCCGGCTGCAGCAGGCTTCAAAGGGGCGATTCAAGCGCACCACACCTGAGTGATATGCAAAATCACGAGGAGGGGCTCACCCTAAGTCGGGAGAGTGGTTATTTTCGAAGGAGGGGAAGGCCGTGTTTGGATTGAGGCCCAGAAAGGCGTTTCTGGAGGGTGGGAAAATTTGTAGTTTTGATCTGAGTGGTTATTACCAGAGTGTTACAATATATAAAATACTATATATTCATTTCCTGCATCTGATTTTGTTTTACAATTACAAGAAACAGTTAAAAATCTACTGTGTGTCTACTACACATTAGGTACTATTCTGAACTTTTTGCACATATGAACACACTCCAGTATTCTAACAACCATGAAAGGCAAATCTGTTTTACAGATGAGAATGAAATACAGAGAAATGAAGTTATAACAAATGTACAAAATGATGCTCAATCCTGCTGAGACTCAAGAAAATACAAACTCCATCAAGGTACCACTATCCAGCCTTCAATGGGCATGAATCTGCCAAGTCCGGTAACGTTACCAGGGGCGACTATGGATACGACTAGGGACTGGGACCTGAACACACAAAATGAAGCATGCAGGTGCTCTCCACACTGGTGACGCTAGGGAACGCCCATCGTCCTGGGATGCTCACAGCGCACTGTTTGTAGTAAAAACTGGAAAACGTCACAAGAGGACACAGCAAATAAAATGTGGCATATTCATGAGGAAAAATAACAGCAGTTAAAATGAACAATAGTTCTAAAAATATCACCATGGAAACTTCTCACAAACACACTTGATGAAAAAAGCAAGTTGTAAAATAATACCATTTATTTTAAACACCAGCCACAAATATTCACTATTTATAGGTATACCTGTATGTGTGAAGAACTGATATTCCCAGAATACACCCTAGAGTTGTGATGATGGCATTTTCCCAGACAAGGAAGGGGGCCAAACGGGTCTCAACATTCTCTAGCATATTCTTAAAGATCCAAAGAAATGCAAAAAAGTGATTCCTCAGTCCTAAGTAGTGGCGGCAGTGTTTGCAGGCTGCCAGGTGGGCCTGAGCTGACACGGCAAGCAGCCCCAGAAACCCAGTGGCTAAGGGCCGCCTCAGAGCCAACACCCCGTGCAGGCCAGGGCCCACCCCCCGACCAAGCAACCTGGGTGCGCTCAGGGGCCTACTTCCCAGGGGTGCTGCACAGGACGTGAAGTATTCACAGCACATGGGGCACCGTGCAGGGACACAGAAGGGATGAAGGGGCCTGCCTCTCTGCTCCTTGATGTGTCTGCCGGGGACACGTCAAGCAGGCTTCTGACTCACGCGCGTTTCTGTACGTGCGCTGCACTCCAACAGAAATGACAAAGCACGAAGAAAGGGGGGATGTGCCTGAAAGACTTCGGGCCAAAGAGAGTCTATAAAAAGAGAAAAAGATGCCCAGAGATTTAGAGACGGTTACTCTGGACTACTGCTCAAAAAGATTATCTGCTAGAACTCTTAGTAAGTATTTCTTCCAAAGATCAAGTTAAAAGGGACAAAATTAAAGTTAGGCCCTAAGGAAAAGAGGACATTACCACAATTATGGAAATTTGAATACGAACAAGGTCCTGCCGTTAACTTTGTTAGACATAATGACACAGATTTTTTGGTATGTCCTTATCAGCCAGATTAGGGATGCATCCTAAAGCACCTGCAAGAGGAAAAGCCAGTAATTTCTAGAATTTGCTTTAAAACAGCCCAGGGGGGAAAGCAGGGCAGGGAGGAAAACGAAACAAGCCTGGCGGAAGGCTGCCAAACAATGAAGCTAAGCGACAATTCCGGGTGTGTTTGAAGACTTCCATGGTCAAACTGAATTTTAGAAGTTTCACTCTGAAGAATGAATTGGGATGGGGGCGAGGGGCTCCCCCTCTTTCCCACATAAGCCCTTCCGTACTTCTCGTGGTTCCCGAGGAAATCCAAGCAGACGTATCAACTAGGGCCCTGCCGTGAGAACCCACACCCCCCAAGCTCTCCTTGTCAGCACCCTACTGGGCAGAGCACAAACTCCAAAGGCAGGGGGCCCACAATGCCGGGCTCCCTTCCGCTCTCTTCCCTGTCCCCACGGCCCGGAGCAAGGGGCGTTACCTGCAGTTCTCCTTGAAGCGGCACTTTCCCTCCAGGAAGAAGGGACAGGGCTTCAGGGACTTGTGCGTGGGGTACAGGTACAGCACTCGAACGCCCGCGGAGCCGTCCTCTGCCGCCTCTGTGCCCACGATCATGGCGTTGTGATACTCCAGGGTGCCCCACGAGCTGTGGAAGGGGGCGTTCACCTTCCTCCCACTCCACGCCCCGTCCTCCTCCTCCTCGTCCTGTCCAGGCTTGCTGGGCTCTGGGCTCGCCTCTCTTTCAGGAACAGCCTCCAGTTCTTCCCTGGGGACCCCTGGCACCTCCCCTCCCTCAGCTTCGGCCTCCTGGAAAGCCAGGTACTCAGAATCGTTCCGGGGTGGGTGCTGTCCATCCAGCGTGGCCAGAAGCTTGCTCTTCCTGACGGACACCAGGCTGGCCTCGGTGAGCTCGATCAGCTCCTTCAAGTCCCCCTGCAGCTGGCGCAGGTCCGCCAGCTCAGAAGGGTCCAGGCCGGCGTCCAGGGCCAGTTCCACCTGCTGCAGCTGCGCATCATAGGTTCGGAGGGCTGTCTGCAGGCTCTCCTCGTCCATCGCTAAGGACGGAGGGCACGGGCGGGTCCTCGGGTCCTCAGGGAGCCAGCGCTGCAAGGAAAAGAGGCCAGGTGAGCGCGGGAGCTGCGCCCCTGCTCCCAGGCCGTCCCGGGAACGACCAACCCAGCCATGAAGGCACCCAGGGCCCGCACCCCCGGTTCCAGGGATCCAGGCCCTCTTGCAGACGGTGCTGACGCCAGGCTTGGGAGGGGGGGGGCACGGTGAGCGTGGAATATCCTGACCGTCAGCGACTCCTGGGGCTATGTCACAAGGACAGTGCGGCCCATCTGAGAGGCTCCCACCTGCCTAACTTGGGACAACTTGAGCCTCAACAAGGAGCAGAATCTCAATAGATTGAAATTCATCGTATATTTAAATCCATGAGTCCAGAAAGATATTTTTTATAAACGAATTCATCACCTAGGATGAAAGAGAACCAATTCATTACTTTGGAAACTAAGTAAACAGAGAAAGCCAGCATTTACCCTGCCTTTTCTGTAAGATCTGTACCACTGGGAGGCCAAACATCAGATGAGGGGAAAAGAGTCTCTTCGTGACATTCCAGCTAGTAAACGAAAATGAACTGACAGAATTAAAGGATCTTTATTTTGCAATTCCCACTCAGTCAGTGGATGTAGGCTTTGAGCATCAATGGCTGCTGACAGCACAGAAGAAAAACTAGATGTCAGATGCCTCCTGAGGAGAGACCATCACTGACCTTGCAAAAGGGGGTGAACCTGAGGGCGCTTGGGGGCCTGGATGCGGCCGCCAGCTGGCAGCAAAGAGGGTCATGCTGGGTGGCGCCGGGGGTGCTTGACGCTGGGTGGAAGGGTGTGTGCAGCCAGAGCCGGCTGCAGCAGGCTTCAAAGGGGCGATTCAAGCGCACCACACCTGAGTGATATGCAAAATCACGAGGAGGGGCTCACCCTAAGTCGGGAGAGTGGTTATTTTCGAAGGAGGGGAAGGCCGTGTTTGGATTGAGGCCCAGAAAGGCGTTTCTGGAGGGTGGGAAAATTTGTAGTTTTGATCTGAGTGGTTATTACCAGAGTGTTACAATATATAAAATACTATATATTCATTTCCTGCATCTGATTTTGTTTTACAATTACAAGAAACAGTTAAAAATCTACTGTGTGTCTACTACACATTAGGTACTATTCTGAACTTTTTGCACATATGAACACACTCCAGTATTCTAACAACCATGAAAGGCAAATCTGTTTTACAGATGAGAATGAAATACAGAGAAATGAAGTTATAACAAATGTACAAAATGATGCTCAATCCTGCTGAGACTCAAGAAAATACAAACTCCATCAAGGTACCACTATCCAGCCTTCAATGGGCATGAATCTGCCAAGTCCGGTAACGTTACCAGGGGCGACTATGGATACGACTAGGGACTGGGACCTGAACACACAAAATGAAGCATGCAGGTGCTCTCCACACTGGTGACGCTAGGGAACGCCCATCGTCCTGGGATGCTCACAGCGCACTGTTTGTAGTAAAAACTGGAAAACGTCACAAGAGGACACAGCAAATAAAATGTGGCATATTCATGAGGAAAAATAACAGCAGTTAAAATGAACAATAGTTCTAAAAATATCA